CTCGCCCGTCGGGCCGTGCCGGGCCGTGCCGGGCGCTGCTCCCCACGCTCGACCCCCGTGGCGTTCCCGCCTTCCCCCGCCCCGCCCCCGGATGTGGCGGCGCGGCCGTTCCGGGCCGTTGTCACTGACGCTCCGCGGTCGCCGGGGCTGTCGTCGCGGAGCGGCTGGGGGGGAAAGCCCGGCCCGGTAAGTGGCCCCGGCGGGGTTGCGTTTCCCCTCCCCTTACCGTACGACCTGGGTCTCGGCGCCGAGCGGGACGGCTCAGGTCAAGTCAAGTCAGGTCAGGTCAAGGCCGAGGCCGCTACCACGGAGCCCCGGCCCTCCCTGCGGCCCACCTCCTCTCCACCGCGGCGACGGGCGGCTTGCGGCGCAGCCGGGTGTCGCGCAGTTACGAGGCTGACCGAGGCGGGGGTGGGCGCCCGCCCCTGCGGCGGGAGGGCGGTGCCGCCGCCCCTCTGAGGGGGCCCCGCTGGAGCGGCGGAGGAGGCGGCCCGGCTTCGCGCCTCAGCGCGGGGCGGGAAAGGGAGGGCTTCCCTCAGGCCGAGAGGCCCCGGGTCCTCCGGGAAGGGGTCCTGGCCGTGGCGGGGGGGAAGGCCGGAGGCGAGGTGGGAAAGACGGCGGCGCCGCCTCAGGGTCTGTGCAAATCCCGGTTTCTGTTGCTCAGCAGAGTTAGAAGAGGGGAAGGCGGTCTGGTAGGGCTGTGTGGTGGAAGACGGAAGAGACCTCGCTGAGTAGAGAAGCAGGTGGAGTTGGAGGTGGGTGCGGGTCGAAGTGTCTCCCCACTGGAACGGGCCGGCTGTGAGAGTCAGGAAAGGGGCCAGGGGCGTCTGACCCTCCGTACCTTTTTCTCTGTACCTCGGAGCAACTTTCAGATTCTCTTGCGCCACATGATGGCTGATCCTCGGGGAGGATGACCCGGTACCGCTGCCGCCAGATGATCGAGCCACATATTTCGGTGAAGGGATTCCTGCCCTGCTGATCAAGTGGGTACTGACTCTCCGTTGTGGAAGTCAGTGTTTGATTTTTTTTGAATTACAGAGCAACATAAAAAGGTCAAAATAATATTCAGATTGTACCTCAAGCACTCAATTTAGAAATGTAGAAATGCCAAGATTATGACCGCTTGTGAAACTTTATTTTGGTCCCTTGTGAATTTGAGGGATGACTTTTGACTTGATTCCTGTGTCATGTAATGCAATGAATGGATAGCACACAAGAGATCTCTTAGCGCTTCATAATGAATAAAATTAGCTTTGTAGAACGCTTTCTTTTTTGTTCCTTTTTTATGTGGTTGGAGAGTAGAAGGCACACATCCTGATTCAAGCCAAAACAAGATGATCGGATTGCCTCCTTAGAGAACTGAATGCTACTCTCCTCTTCCATAAAATTCTTATGTGGTAGTGGACAAATCACTCTGTACTCATTGAGGCAGCTGTTTGATTTTTAAGACCTGTAAACTGAGATACGTACAGCAAAACTTTAACAAGTGCTGAGTGTTTGTCGCTGCAGCTTAGATCAGTAGAAGCGATGCTTTGACGTCACCACTGCTACAAAACATAGGTATTCCTGTGGAAATAAAACCAAACCCACCTAGCTCCAGACATCTAAAATTTGGCAGCACATTGGACACTTGGTTTTAAATCTCTCAGAGTTTACCAAATAGCAGAATGGAAAAATAGTTCTGCCAAGGCTCAGATGGGTCTTGTGTTGCTGTTTATAAAGTATTCTGGTACCATTAATGCTTATGGAAGTTTTTTTCCTATCTTCTGTTTCCTTAACACTGCAGCTATATTTTTGTATGCAAGCATGAAGAAGTAACCGTCAACAATCTCTGTCATTAGTTTTCGTATAAGTGGCATTTAAAAATCTTTAAACAGCTACTTGAATATTCAGACTTAAATGGCTGTATTTATTGCTTGCATTTCTTTATTGACAATGAAGGTTAGTTGCATTTTCTATTTTGTACCTGTTGAACCTTTATACCTTTAGGATTGAGTTGTCAGCACTGTAAAGATATTAATTTTAATTCTTGCAAACTTTTACTTTCTGGTAAACAGTTTTATTAACTACTACTAGCTACTAACCATTAGTTAACTGGTAGCTAATACCAGTTTTATGCCACAGGGCTCCTAACAGGCTGGGGAAGTCTTCAGCCTACAGTACGATAAATTTCAGCACACAGTACTGTAAACTAGCTACTAGTAAAGAAGTTGCATACTTACATGATGACCATTTGTTACCTTTGAGAATGAAATGTCTTCTAGTTTTTATTTGTTTTTTTCTTGTCCCTGGCACATAAAATATGTGGAATCAAAATAACTGAGACATCAAACATTTCATATTTATTTTCACTTCAAAATACATTGTTACTGAAGTGTAGCTTTAAGAAATTAAGAATGTGTTTTTACCTTCATTTCAGTGATGTCTGGTAAGTTTGGATTTCACTTACCCTCTCCCTCTATTATTTTTTCATAAAAAGCCTAAAATATGTTGTTCTTTTCCATCCTTGTCGTGATCTCATTATAGTAGCTAAATATCTCTTAATTCATTATGTTTTTTCTTATTTACAAGAGTTAGTATTAGGTCCCATAGGTCTACGGAGCAGTCTTTTTAACTGGCATATTTTTCAGTACCTTTAGGTTTCTTTGTTCTTTTAATGTGTTTGTCAAATATATGGTTCAGTTGCTCAGTATTATAAACTATATTTAAGCTGTTTGTCTCTGGATTTTAGATGAATATCCACTTTTACACTTTTTCTTCTACAGTACACATGACATCCTTTATAAAAATTCAGAAGTGATTTTCAGTGCTACACAAACAGTATTTCTCTCACAGAATTTCTAATTACATTTAAGGACTCTCAAGAATTGCTGTGCAGCTCCCATGTCCTCAGTTCTTTAAGAAGGCAAGATCGGAGGAATAAGTATTCCTTTTACTCTTTCACAAGAAGAGCTTACTTACAGTGTTTCAGGTGCCCATCTCTTTCAGACTTCTGTAACTGCATCTTTTTTAATTTTATTTCCTAGAGAGACAGAAAAAAGAGAAATTTTGTTTCCATTCCACTGTTACAGCTTTTTACCATATACTTTTTGCTTCCTTTATGTTCTACACATAATCATATTACCACCATGTCTTCTGCCTTGAAATTTCACTTCTTACATTTTCCATAGATGGCTATTTTACTTCACATAGTATGTGCAGTTATCTTTCTCCAGGCCTCATTGGTTGGTATAGCCATGATCAATGTGATCACTGTTGAACCTTGTCCTTAAATTCACAGTCTCTTTCTGCAAGGCTTCACCACTTCATCCTCAAATTTGCAATTTAGGGTTTGGGATTATTTTTTGCATTTTTTGTTTCTCACTAGCCTTTTGACTTCCTATGCTGAAAATTTTATGTAATTTCTTGCAGTAATTGTGATAGTGATACAATCCACACATAAACATCTCTTCCATTGTGAAATATGATCTGACAGTTTTTTTTATCTAGTGGAAGTTACTTTGCATTATGTGCTTAAAATATTTTCCATCATGCAAACAAGTTTATCAGTTGACTCATTAATGATGCTGTGAAAAGCTGAAATCAGGACTCAATAGTCAGAAGACTATGAAGCGGGTATCCTTTATTGCAGCGCTGGGCACACAGGGGATTTCTCCTCCTATTGTGTGTGCCTGGTCAGGTTAATTGCATAGTTTATATACAGGTTCTATATACATATTCATCAGATTTCTGAGAAAAGTTTTGCATATTCATTAATTTTCCAGGAACTCATTATCATATGTAGATGTCCTTCACACAGGTGTACTTGAGGTCTCTGGTGGTCTTCAGGAGTCCTCTGGTGGTCTTCAGTAGTCTTCCTCACTTGTCCGCTACTTGACCCTTCTCGGATGATTCTGCACTGTGCGATCTTCTGCATGTTTTAATTCATCTTATCCTAAAGAGTGCTCGTTAGTGCTTCTATTATCTAAGCATACAGTTTGACGTAATCCATATGGGTACTTCTAAGCTAAGTTATCGGAGAGGGCTAAAGTCCTAATCTTCTTCAGAAACTGCAAGGCCATCCAAAAGCAATTTCTCCTACATTTTGCAACATACAGAACTTTTATCTACCACCTGTTAGCAAATAATTGGGTAAAGAAATAGCAAGGCCATTGTATTCAGAAAAACATCTTTGCATCATTAACAATTACAGAGCTGAAAAGGTTATTCATTAGAGCTTTTTTCTTCTGTTGCCTCAATATAATGTGTGTATACTTGTTTAAGCAGTATCCTTTGACAAAACAAAAACCACAATGCCATAGGCAAATTTTGGTCAAACGTTTAGTAGTCACAGCTTTGTAAAAAAAAAACAAACCCCACACTGAAGCTACACTGAAAAGTCAGTCTTAACAGCTAGAACAGCATGAAGTGTCTCCACACTGCCTTCATGTGGAGAAAAATCTAACTTTGTGCCCTGTTTTAAGTCCATGTTGTAAGTCTGTCTTCAGTACAAAGCACCGACTCTGGCTTTGTCAAAATGGTGAAGGAATTTAAATATTCTTCTATAGTGATAAGAGATTACAAGAATTAGAAATAATATAAACATAGTATAAATCCACAGAAGCTAGAATAGCTTCTTAATAATAATTGTTCTTCTCTAAATGTACCTGTAGTTTCTTTCATGAGCGGATGAATATAGCAATGGCAGAGCAAGCGTTGCCAAAATTGTTGCTTTTCTTCAAGCCTTGATGCTTATGTAAGCTCTCAGCTATCATAACTTTGTACTTATATTTGAAAACATCTTCTTTATGGTCTTTTCAGGAGGTATCATTTGTGTTTCTTTCGTGTAATCATTCTTCTTAACAAAGAACATTTCCTTTTCTGATCATTGCAAGCTCAGCCTATCTTCCTATCTCCTTGCATTCATCTGCCCTTCTGCCAACAAACATTCTGTTAATGTATGTCAGTGAATCAGGGTTGAGGGACAAATGTAGAGAGCACAGAACGGTGTTCAGCAATTTGTTCAATAACTCTTCTGTAAACGGTGCCAAGCTATATACTTTATGTGTATTAGTTCACTCATTAATGAATTGGTGTACTGCACCTCATTAGCGCACTTTCAGTCACTCATGACTTGGAATAAGGTTTTGTTTGTTTGTATGTTTTTTTCTTTTAATACACAGGTAGTGGAATAATTTCATTTTGCATTTAATACTTAACCTTTCCTACAACGTAAAGTTCAGGTTTCTTGTCCTTGCTGGACATAAGTTAGTCTCTGGCTGCTTGGACGTTCTTTCTTAATTATATTACTGTTCTCCTGCCCTGACCTAAATTCACTATACCTGCCTGGAATACTTAATTGACCTAATTCCCCCACTGACCTTCTAATATTTTCACCTACATAGGAGATCCATTCTGATGTGGTCAGCCAATTTTCCTTCATCAAAGTCCTTTCACCTTCTTTTTTTTTTTTTTTTGAGGATCCACATAAGCTCATTCAAATTGTGTTTGTTGAATTTTTTTAAAATATTTTTGGATGTGGTTTAAAATGCTTTTTTTTTGTCTTTTGTGTATTATTCTTCTCTAAGTAACTGCAGTCAGAATGGTGAATGTGTGTAATGGTAGCAGAAATTATAAATTTTTCTTAATAATTGTATGTTGTTAAATAGCAATGTATATATTCTCAGAATATTTCAGGATGGTTTCTTCTCTGCAATACCCCCTCCCCTCCAGTTTTATTTATTATTAGACAACTACCAACAGCATGATTGATGCCCCACAATGCAGATAAATATGAACCCTGGCTCACAGACATTAGAAAATCAAGTTAGACATGATGTAACCAGTGGGGTAACGTGTTGCATGTACACTTTTTACCTTCTCTGCTGTTTGTTATACTTGAGATCAGTACAGAGGGTAGGCAAAAGGTGTACATAATTGTGGATGGGAGGAGAAAGAAAAATTACTAAAAAGAAGTTAGGAGAAGGTATGGCATAAATTATAA